CCGGCTTTGCAACTCCCTCCCCTGGCCCAGTCTCGGTGGCTTCTAGCATTATATGCCAACGATCCGGAGAGTGGAAAGGCAGTGGTGGGAATGCGACTCACCGAAGAAGATCACCAGATGAAAATGAGATGCGAAGATGGAAGATTCATGCCGCATCAAGCGATGGGGGACCGGTGGCTACAGGCAGGAGAAAGAAACAGGACGATGCAGTGGACAGGGGATCCTATTTGACGCTCGTGAGCGTCCAAACGTCGGGGCTTCGCTGAAGGCGCTCCGAGTTGGGTCGGCCCAGGTGCGCATCGCTGTTTTTTCTATTCCTGTTTCTTTTTGTTTTCTGGTTCCCTTTTTATTTCCTTTATTTTCTTTTTTACTTTGTTCTCTTTTCAAATTTGTGTTCTATCATTAGAACAAACATATGAATTCCAAAAAACATTTTTATACAAAACTGTTCAATGTAAATTTAAATATCGTTCAAAGCATATCACAAAATGTTAAATGTGTATTTAAAAAAATTTCAGCACATAGTAAAAAAATGTTCAATAAATATTTTAGAAATTGTTCAACATGTATTTAAGTATTGTTCAGCGTATATTACAAAAATGTTCAATTTGTATTTAGAAATTGCTCAGCATATATAAAAAATGTTCAATATATATTTTACAAAATATAACGTATATAAAAATCAATAAACGTTTTGAATTTCAAAATTTTGTTCACGTTTTCAATAATTTTTCAGGTTTTAACTTTTTGATATTTATTCACCATTTTTAAATATATTTCACGAAAATAGTTCACATTTGTTTGCAAGAATTGTTGGAAATTTTGAAGGAAAAAAACAGATTTGTCGTTGTACATTGTACATAAAGGGTTGCGCTGCAATTGTGCCATACTCAGGAGCTAGGTCAGGTGGTTTGCATCGCCCCTACCAAGCGTGGGGTCGCGCGTTCGACACTGTTGTGTGCGCATTTTTTTAGTCATTTTTACTCATTGCCTGGTTATGAGCCGGCCCGTTTGCCCGAGCTTTTCAGCAAAAGCTCTACTGTTGGACGCCCGCGAGCGTCCAATAGGATGGGAGTTCCTATTGCCTTGCCGAGCGGACGCACAGGTGCGATTCCAGCTCGGCCGGCCATTAGCGTAATACAGTGAAAAATCCAGTTCCTATGCGCTGCTCGTTGCGGCGAATTGCCGAGCGGACGCACAGGCGCGATTCCAGCTGGGCCGACCCATTAGCGTAACACAATGAAAAATCCCCAAAAGTGTGCTAGATTTGTCGTTGTACATTGTACTTAAAGGTTTGCGCTGCAATTGTGCCATACTCAGGAGCTAGGTCAGGTGGTTTGCATCGCCCCTACAAAGCGTGGGGTCGCGCGTTCGACACTGTTGTGTGCGCATTTTTTTAGTCATTTTTACTCATTGCCTGGTTATGGGCCGCCCCGTTTGCCCGAGCTTTTCAGCGAAAGCTCTACTATTGGACGCCCGGGAGCGTCCAATAGGAGGGGAGTTCCTATTGCCTTGCCGAGTGGACGCACAGGCGTGATTCCAGCTGGGCCGGCCCATTAGCGTAACACAGTGAAAAATCCAGTTCATATGCGCTGCTCGTTGCGGCGAATTGCCGAGCGGACGCACAGACGCGATTCCAGCTGGGCCGGCCCATTAGCATAACACAGTGAAAATCCCCAAAAAGTGTGCTAGACGGAGGGATCGAACAGGGACCTCCTGTTTGCTTATGTGCGAGCCTAGTCAACGGGATAGATGAGCTTCTGGGTTTACTATGGCGTGCGAAGCTAAAGGTAATATAGATCCAAGCATTTTTGTCAAAGTCTGAACGTGAACATTATTTTAGAAATAAGTTTTTCCAAAGAGAGCACTTTTCAACTTTGAGAAGAAGAAAAAAAGCTCAAACATTTCTTGAATATCCGAACAAATTTTTGATAAACTGAACATTTTTTAGAAAATCACGAACATTATTGAATATGTGAACAAATTTTTATTAAAGGGGACATTTTTTGAAACTCTGAACAATAATTTGGAAATGTGAATAGTTTTGGAATCCGTCAACAATTTTTGAAACAAGAACATTTTTTCAAACTCATAACAAAATTTGAAAATGAAAACATTTTTTAAGTTATTGAACACATTTTGAGAAATATGAACAACGTTTATGAAATGAAGAACATTTTTTAGAACTGTGAAATATTCTACAAAGGAAAATGGAACAGGAGGAAATAAGCAGAAAAAACGAGAAAAGAAGATGAACATTTGTCAAATTCGTTAGCATTTTTAAAAAATATCAAACATTTTTTTAAACTCCCAAACAAAATTAGAAACAAACACATTCTTGAAAATTGCAACAATATTTGAAATAGAAACAATTTTTTAAACTACCGAACAAAATTGAAAAACACGAATATTTTTCTTAAATTTGTGACTGAATTTTTAAAGAGGAACATTTTTACAAACTACTGAACAAAATTTGAAAACATGAACATTTTTTGAATTTTGTGAACAAAATTTGAGAACTATAAATATTTTGAACTTGTGAACAAAATTTAAGAACTAGAATAAATGTTTGAAAGAAAGAAATTTAGATAGCAGGAACATTTTTTAAGATTGAAGAACAAATTTTGAAATTTAGAACCTTTTAAATATCTCAAACAAGTTTGGAAATTCAAAAAAAAATCAATACATGAACAATATTTTGAAAACCGGAACATATTTTAAACAATTTGAACATATTTTTCAATTAGCAAACAATTTTTAAAATTCAAACATTTTTTAAAGAACGATAGATTTTACATGCAAATAAAATTTGAATAGTTTGAACATTTTTAAAATTATGAAAAATGAAAAATTGAAGACAAAGGGAAAAATAAAGAAAAAAACAGAAAAAAAGATGAAAAAGAAAACTTGAAAAATAGAAAAGGAACGAACAGGAAAAGATAGAGAAGAAAAAATAAACAGGAAAAAGGAAAACGAAAAACGAAAAAGAAACAGAAATGTTAGGAAGCTCCTAGAAGAATCCCAAAGCCGAAAAAAAAAGGCTGGGAACAAGCGAGAAGGCTCCTGAAACCGGAATTGTCGAAACATTTTACGGGCCGGCCCACGCGTCGTTCGATCTCCCTATGCGTCCGCCCGGCAACTTTCCGCATCTAGCGGCAAATAGGATATTCCCAATAGAAGACTATGCCTAAATTTTTTTCTGAGTCGACTTAGAAACATAAGCCTGCACGTCAAATGGACCGACATTCTTTTGGGCTCTGGATTTCTGGATAATTACCGGATTGGTTAGATCCATCCCAAACAAAGCACACCTTGGCCCAAGTAACAGACGTCCACGTCTTAGGGCCCGCCATCACTCTCTACCTGTCGTCGTCTTCGTCTTCACGCGAGAAATATATTCTCCGGTGCTTTCCCTTTCTTTCTCTCTCTCTCTTTTCTCCTCTCTCTGCGCGCGGAGCAAGATTCCACTCTCGATACCTCGGAGTTATCGCGCACCGAGCAGCAGATTATCCCCTCCCTGCAGGCATCGCGCTGCTTCTCCAAGTTAGTATCTGATCCTAATCAGCTCTGTTGTCTTTCCCCGCACCCGGGCCAAATTTGTTCAGCTGATCCATCATGGCGTGCTTTGTTGGATTGGAATTGGATCAGTTAGCACATTTTACTGGGAAACCAGTGACGTGCTATTAGCGTAGGTTTCATCTCGTCCTGAGAACGAAGCGGAATTCGCGGATTTCTTGCTTGTTTTGGGGTTTCGGGTGTTTTATGCGGTCCGCGTTTGAGCAATTGGGGGGTGCGATGAGATAGACTGGTGCTCCACTGATTTAATTTAGAATTGGGATGATCTGTGTATCCGTTTATTTAGGTTCTACATACGATTGTATCGTTCTGGTTCAGACTACAGAGTTTTGGGTCTGCGGTAGATGTATATTTGGCTAATAATTGTATTCCTTTTGCTGCCGTATTTACTTTCTAAGTTCGTGTCAGTACGCGTGCTCTCTTTTCTACTGCTTGAAACTCTATAATCTTAGAGGATGTGTTATTATTTTTTTTCAAATGGGTCTTTCATTTTCTTTAACTTACCCCTCCTGGTAATAATCTACCAAATGTTAGTCCAGTACTCAGTTTATGACTTGGGCGCAGAGGTTTTTGTCTCCAATCTAGGGAAGTAGTTTCATTGATGCTGTATAATTGATTCTTCAAAATGATGTTTGACATTTGAAAAATAACTCATGTGTACATTCCATGAAGTATGAGCAACACTTTTTGGGAGAAAAACATGTCCATTTGTGTGCTGTACAAAAAAAAAGAGTGGCAGAGTAAAATAGCATACAATTTTTTAGGTGCTGCACACAAATTGGCTTGCTGACCATTTGCATGTCCATACTTTAATTCCATGATGTATGTACAAAGTTATTCGTGCAGCACAGTATATGAAGAATGGTCCTACCTGAGATTTTGTGGCACTGCCTCACTGGTGCCATATGAATTTTCCATAGGAAGTGTATTTGCAGTATTTCATAATGATTATGCTATTCTTTTCTCGTATAGGATCATATATATTTTTATTACCTTTCCTGTTGTTTGGTTCATTTTTTCCTTCTTCAAGCCAGTGGGTCAGGATAAGGTTGCACCTGCCTTTTGGGTTTGGCTTCAGTTTTGAGTTTAGTGTCTAGTCAGCAGTCACAACCATCAGTGTACAATTTTTTGGACAGGTTGCCCTTTATCTTTTATTTGTTGGAATTCGAAGTTGGACAAAATACATATGATAGTGCACGTTGAACTACATTCTTCACTAACTGATAATTTTTCTGAGCTTGCTCTATCATATGTATATTGGATCTTAATTAAATCTTTCCTTATTGCAGTAAGATTGCCTGCTTGAATTAATCAAAATCTGAACATTTTTTGCACAAGGATTACCAAAATCAGAAAGCTTACTGTTTCATGCTATCAACAACTGATCATCAATAGTGTCATTGGTCAAACATAAAACAGGCAAAATGAGCTCTGAAGGCGGTGGCACCGCCATCACAGGCAAGAAGCGGAACAGGGCCCAAATTCAGACACTAGTCAGGGAAGGCTCTCTCTATAACCTCACCCTCAGTGAGGTTGAAAGCCACCTCGGTGCGCCACTTCTTAGTATGAACCTTGATGACTTTGTGAGGAGTGTTCTTCCAGATGAGAAGAACCTTCCATTACCAAATGGCGCTGGGAATTCAGGCAGTCAAAGCACGTCAGCTTTTGGTTTGGAACGTCAGGGCAGCAGCATTACTGTACCCCTGCCATTGAGCAAGAAGACAGTGGATGAAATTTGGAGAGACATCCAGCAGGAAGAGGAGAGTAGTGATGATGAGAAAAGGAGTTCAGGTTGTGAGGCACAGATGTCGTTTGGGGAGATAACACTTGAGGAGTTCTTGCAAAGGGCTGGCATTGTTACTGGGCAGTATCAGAAGGATGCTGAGGAGTTAATTGATCTTGTAGGAACTGGAGAAAGTGCTCATATGATGACCAGAGTGCAGGATTTCCCACAGGGAACAAGTGCAATTGATGCGTATATTGTACGTCAGTCGATTGCGCAACCGCTGAGTGTTGCAATCCCTTCGACAATGGATTCCATCTACCCAGATCGTCAAATGAGTATTTCGTCATCTCTAGAACTTTCTGATCTTCAAAGTCCTAGTCGTAAGAGAATGTCTTCCCAGGATGTGGTATACAAGGTTGCTGATCGGAGGCAGAAGAGGATGATCAAGAACCGAGAATCGGCTGCACGTTCAAGAGCTAGGAAACAGGTTTATTTTTCTGACTCTTTACAATTCAAGTCATGACTATAGAACTTGTTTAGCACTTTAGAATGATATAAAAGTTTCTATGAGATTTAGAAACATACTAATAGAGGAAAAGGTGAATTAGCTCTCCTGTAGGAGCATGGTCCAGTTAGCAAGGAGCCTAGCAAGCAATCTCTAATTAGCACAACTCCCAAAAGCTAGTTTTTTTTGTAAGAAAGACCTTTATTTGGTTACTCTGCACAAGAACAGAACTAACATCCCCTCTTTAGATTAGAACACACTATAATAGGTTAGTTTGCCTATTTTGCACCTACATAACCCCCCTATTTTACTCATTGTAGGACTACTGCTGTTCTGGATTTATCTTACTACACCATAATATGTTAGCTTGTCTATTTTGCACCTACATAACCCCTAATTTACTCATTGTAGGATTACTTCTGTTCTGAGTTTATCTTAATTCACGACAGCACTGGGTATATCACTTTGTATATCAAAACTAATTTTTTTTCCTTTGGGAACTTTTTTGTATGAAATTTAGGCCTATACAAACGAGCTCGAATGCAAATTGTCTTGTCTGGAAGAGGAGAACAAAAGGCTGAAGAGAGAGAAGGTAGATCATGCTCATTTTCTGTACATAACCTGTTTAATTTCCTTTAGATTTGTTTGGTGGAGGTTTGTTTAACTTGCTACTGTTATTTTTTCCAATGTTTTCATGCTTCATCTGTATAGTTTGCACTTTTAGTGTAAGCATGCACCGGCATGCCCTGTTTCACCAAATAATTTACACCTTTGTCTCCTTTTTCTGTTGGTGATTAAAAAAAAAGCAAAAGCATCGCTTTGGATGTACTTCTCAAATACTTGATGCTGAAAGGAATATTCGTTGAGTACATAAATTGGCTGCCGAAAGAATTATATTTCCGTGTTCTTTACTTGCAAGATTTGCCTCTTGGGTTTCCCACATGAATACAAAGAACACACAGTACATTATATTTGATGCAGTTTTCCCAAGAACCAGCAATTATTGCTATGTGCTATTGAAAGTGTCTGTAGTATTACCATTCACCTCTTACTGACGACAAGGATGTTTCACCACGTTCGCTTGCAGGAGTTGGACATGTTATTGAAGTCGGCGCCCCCTCCGGAACCGAAAAAGCATCTTCGGAGAACGCGATCGACCTCATTCTAATTGTGTGTAGAGTACAGGCTTCTGTAGATTTTGATCACTCTTTTGCTTTCTCCTCGCATGTAACTATGGAGTGTGTGCAGCTTGCTTTGCTTGTAATTTGTAAAGGCCTGGGACACCCGACAATCTTGTGAAATATCCTCCCGGCCCTTAGGTTTCAGATTTGTAAATCTGATTGTTGCAAATATTCTTGCGGCACGGATCCCAGTGTATGGACCGTACTGCGAAGTTTCTTGCTAATACTTTCTGTAAGTTTTCGCTGCTGTAACCTGTAGCCGCATGGTAAACTCAATGAACCCTGTATCTGCTTTCAGAGTCTTTCCGTGGGAAGAGAATGTCTCACGGCAGTCTAAGCTGAACTAGAGAATGTTAACCCAAGAAAATCCCTCTTGTGGTCATCTCATTCCCATGTTCCATATGCCATCTACCAGTGTGGTCCAAGAGAAAAGGGCCAAGACCCAAGAACGTCTCAATGATTGCAGAGGAAGAAGAAGAAGCAGCTCGGCAGTTAACTTGGCCAATTATTAGCTCGTCAAGCTTAATCTTTGGACTTGGGACTTGAGAGACAGATGGTCCATGGCCAGCCTCTCCCATGTGAGAGTCCAAGCTAGTACTTATGAGCATTATTTGCTTTTTTTTTCTCTATAGCACGTATCGGAATGTACATCTTTTGTATTGGAAATACAGTTTGTCTAATTCACATCTAGATGTTTTTTTAAGGATGTCACATCTAATCTCCCACAAATATATAATGTAGCACTTGGAAATAACACGCCAAAATAGTGCGCCGGCCAAAAAAAGGTTAAAAGGTACTACTATTGTTCGGATCATGTCAATTTTTCCTCAATTTTTCTGAGCTCATGCCATGGGAATATGAGATCCATCTAACCGGCCGCCTAGTTTGGAGTGCGAGGACTTGTCTTGAATCCTGCCGGAAATTGAGCTGTTTATGTGAATTTCATATGGAGTTTCCTGAATTCGTAAGTGTTCGGCATCGAACGGCCTTAGGGCTTGATGATCCATTAATCGAAAAAAAGGAGAATTCCTATGAATTATGCAGATACTTGTATATTCTTGGTGCGCTATGGAGAACACATGTTTTTTTTTGAACTGTCCAGCAATTGCTGGCTATTTCATTGATTTAAAGCAGGGAGAACATGGTGATAACAGAAAAGTGCGTGGCGGTCAGGGACCAAGGAGAAAACTGAAAAAGAAACAAAAAAGAGAAAGAGGGTCACTAATAACCTACTATCTCATGGTGGCTCCCCGAAGGGGATCTCAATGCAGTTGGCTCCCGCCAACCTCCATAATTCCAGTGAGTTTCTCAGTTCTCTCACAATGGCAGAGGTGGAGGATATCTTGTTTTGAAAAGTGCATCTATTCCTCTCTTGCCAAATCTCCCAGCATGTTGCAAGGAGCATTGTTTTTGCTCCTTTCCGCTCCGTTGGTGACGTCCTGTTGATTATTTCTCTGATAATCACCAAAGGCTTCTTCTGGTGCCAGTCATCCGTCGGCGTGAAGGCGGAGCAGCCGTGCCAAGATGCCACCCGTTGCCAAACTTTCCAAGCCTCGGGGCATTCCCAGATGATGTGCTTGCTTGACTCCAGGCTCCGGAGACAGAGCTGGCAGAAATAGCCATTTGGCCAGCCCCGTCGTTGGAGTCTGTCGTTGGACCAGACTCGGTTTTGTAGCAGCAGCCAACAAAACATTTTGATCTTTCCAGGGGCCCAAGATTTCCATATGATGTCTTCAAACTCTGAGTTGTGCCGTCCCTGAAAATGCATCTGGTAAGCGGAGCTCGCTGTGTATCCTCCCTTTGCCTCCCTGTTCCACTGAATTTTGTCCCTTTCATCATCGTTTAGCTGGACGTTTGCCTCACGAGTTCGCCGGTGTAGCCGCAGGAAATCAGTCAGTATCCGGTTGATATCGCCGTGCTCAAGGTCATTGATCCATGCCTCGTTTTGCAGAGCTTGAAAAACTGTCCTGTTTTTGCGTCGGGAGTGTTTGAACAGGGTTGGGAAGCCCTGAGCTAGTGTTCCAGGTCCCAGCCATGTTGATTGCCAGAATAGCGCCGTCTTGCCATCTCCAACTGTCACCTTTGTTGCTGCAGCAAACAAAGCTCTGTCCGTGTCATCACATGGTGGTGGTGTGCCAACCCATGGTCTGTCCGGATCGTTCCAGGCGATCCATAGCCAGCGTAGCCGGAGCGCTCGGCTGAAGCTTTGCAGGTCCAGGATTCCAAGCCCTCCCTTCTCTGTTGGCGCGCAGACTGTTGGCCAGTTCACCTTGCAGTTGGCCCCTGTTACTTCCTCCTCCTGCTTCCAAAGGAAACGCCTTCTACACTTATCAATTTCTTTGAGTAATTTGGGTGGAACCCGTAGAACCGAAAGGGCGAATGTTGGCATTGCGGTGAGGACGCTGCGGACCAGCACTCTTCTGCTTGCCAGGGGAAGGAGGCGGCCCTTCCAGCCAGCTAGCCGAGCCTTGATCCTATCTATCAGGAACTGCAGGTGCACTAATCTAAGCCGTGTCGTTGTCACCGGGAGGCCTAGATATCTAATGGGGAAATAGTTGATGGAACCACCAAAATTTCCAAGGATGTCAGCAAGATCAATGTGTTCACATCTAATCGGTGTCGCTGTTGATTTTGCCGGGTTGATATGCAGGCCAGTGGCGTTTCCAAATTCAGTGAGTATCTCCATGATGGTTTGCACTTCATGCTGGTCTGGGTTTGCGAAGATTACTGCATCGTCTGCATATAGACTGACTCTAAGCTTGATCTCACGGCCCGGCAGAGGGGCGATTAGGTCGTGCTCCACCGCTGCTCTAAACACTCTATGAAGTGGGTCTATGGCTAGGATGAAAAGGAAAGGCGAGAGGGGCTCGCCCTGCCGCAGTCCCCTTCTGTGTACTATGTTTGGCCCGGCTATGCCATTGAGCAGGAAGGCCGATGATGATGTGGAGAGTAGCAGGGCGATCCAGTCGCGCCACCTCGCGCTGAAGCCAAGCTCTTGGAGCAGCTCGAGCAGGTAATCCCAGGAGACATTATCAAAAGCCTTGGAGATATCTAATTTCAGTAGCAATGACGGAGTCTTCTTTGCGTGGAGGGACTTGACACAATTTTGCACGTAGAGATAGCTATCGTATATGCATTTTGTCCTGAGGAAGGCCGTCTGCGCCGGAGAGATCAAGCTTTGAATCACCGTTGCAAGGCGGAGCGAGAGCACTTTGGAGATCAGTTTTGCAACCGAGTGAATTAAGCTAATCGGTCTGTAGTCGTTGATTGCGGCAGCACCATCTTTTTTGGGGAGTAGGACTACGACAGCTGTGTTGAGGGCTTGGAAGTTCCCCCCGGCTAAGTGGTAGAACTGATGAAAAACTTGCATAACATCCCCTTTTATGATTGGCCAGCAGCTTCTGAAGAACACCCCGGAGAAACCATCCGGGCCAGGTGATTTTTCCGCCGGCGATTGCTTGATCGCTTGCCACACTTCCTGCTCAGTGAACGGGTTGTCCAGGCCACCACCCTGAACCCTTGGCATGTCTATGTAGCTCTAGTCAATTGTGCTAGTTCGGTCCTGTCTTGTCCCTAAAGATCTAGTGAAGTGAGTATGGACGATTTCCTCTTTTTCATCGTGCGTAGTGGCAACCCCAGCCGGTCCGTGCAGCGAGTGGATGAAATTTTTCCTGCGCCTGGCGTTGATCTTGGCCTGAAAGAAGGCTGTTTGAGCGTCCCCCGCCCGCAGCCATGTTATCCTAGATGCATGTCGTTTCCGGGCCCTTTCCACCGCTGCCAGCCCAAGAATTCGCAGCTTCAGAAGCTTTCTCAGGTGAAACTCACTCTGCGTGAGCGTCCGACGCTCTTGCGCTATATCTAGCCGTAGCACTACCATTGTGGCCAGCTGCAGCTGCATTTTAGCATCACTAAACAGGGACTTGCTCCAAATTTTGAGGTCTCTAGCTACCCGGAGCATTCTGATGTTCAGGCGAGCAAAAGCGCAGGCCACTGGCGCTGGCCGCTGCCATGCTCGTTGCACCGTCTCATGGAAGCGCGGGAACTTTGGCCAAAACGATTCAAACCGAAACCGGGGCGTCGCCCTAGGGGCAGAGGCAGTAGCTAGTAGCAGTGGGCAGTGATCCGAGCATGAAGTTGACGCCGCGTGGAGCATGAAATCAGGGAACAGGACCTCCCACTCAATTGTACAGAAAAACTTATCTATGCTCGCAAGAGTTGGCTCTCGGCGCTCACTACTCCAAGTGAAACGCCTATTTTTGCATTTGATCTCCCGCAGGCCACCAGCATCTATTGCCGCCCTAAACCTACCCATGATCCTTCTGTTTATGTTGTTGTTGTTTTTATCGCGGGCCTCGTAGATGATGTTGAAGTCACCATTTAGGAGCCAGGGCTCTCCGGGGGGTGTGCAGCTCTGACTAGCTCCACCAGAAAGGAGTCCTTTCGCGCGCTCTCAGACGGGTCGTAGACCGTTGTCAACCAGAAACTAGCTCCCGAGGAGAGGATCGTGGCCTTGGCCGTGATGGAGAACTCGCCGATCATATGGGATTGGATGCCGACCGAGGTCGAATCCCAGAAGATGGCAGCGCCTCCTCTTGTGCCATTAGCTGGCAGGACGATGCGGTCATCGAGCCTTTGCCCTCCTACTTCTCTAGCAATCGCTGTCGTCCATTCCTCGAGCTTGGTCTCCTGGATGCAGAAAATGGCTAGACGGTGTGCGTTTGCCGTGTCTTGTACTACAGCACACCGGGCTGGATTATTCAGGCCCCGGACGTTCCAACACATGATTGGGCCGGCCGTGCTACTCATGAGGAACATGGATCATTCGCATTGTGCTAGCCTTAGGTGAGAGCCAGGGCTGGTCGACGACAGTTTCTATTTCTGAAGGAAAACACAAGTACACAGCACTACCATCCGGGGGTTGCCGGCGGCCACCAATAGGCCCAAGATCCCGCCGGCAAACAACTACCAGCCATGCCCAACTACTGTTACATCTCACTAGCCCTAAGGCTAACAATCTACTACTTAGCTTGACCCAGCACAGGGCTGGTCGTCGTCGACTATGGTGGTGCTCTAACATGGGGAAACCGGGCGGCCAGAGGCCTCTCCATCAGCGCCAAG